CTGAATTTTAAACTAAATGAATAAGGAAATCAATGGAAATTCCTTTATCAATACTAGTTCTTATTAAATTAAAATACTGCATAAAATAAATTTATAAAGCTATTGAATGAAAATTTCCATTAACATATTTAAGATGTGTGTAAAGAGTAATAGTTAAATTACTTAATAATATTAGAAATAATTATCTTTTAAAGGAATTAAAAAATAAAAACAAACAAAAGCTTCTTTAGAGAAATTATTCTACTATTAAAAATGGTGCTGGAATTCACATCCCACGTTATCCAAAATTAAATAAATGTATTTTTAAGTGATAAATCAAGTTGTGAAGAAATATTAAATATGAATACATTCATCTTAATTACTTAAAAAAAACTGAATGTGAACATGTGAAAAATTAAGAGAAAAAAGCTTTCTCTTAAAAAAAAAAAAAAAAAAAAAAAAAAAAAAAAAAAAGATTTTCATTAAGAGAAAAAAAAACCTTTTTTTTTTTAACTTCTAGCTAGATGTGAAAAAGATTATTCGCTAGAAATCTGACATCCTGAAAAATGAATATATGCATACACACACATACTCATATTTATATGCATACACACACATATAATGATACATATAATTCATATATGATTATATATTGAAAACATATGCATGTGCATACACATGCACGCATATATGTATATACATACACACACACGCATATAGAAAGAAATTTTATAAAGTTTGTGACATAAATTTATATTCCTTCTGAAACAGTAAGAAATAATACTTTAAAGAAAAATTTAAAAAATAGCATCACTAGAGCAAATTTACATTGCAGATTAAAAATGTTTTTCATTGAAAGAACGCACTTCGTAACGCCGAGCAGCAGAATGTAAACAAACGTCAGAAATGTGACGTCACTCATGTGGGCGGAGTTAAGGATGACCCTTATCTGGATTGTCATTGGCCAAACTCAAGCCGTTGTCCTAGCAGTTTACATTTTGCTTATATGCGTCCCGGGCAGTTCAATCCCTAGACAGGAAGCCAAACTTACAACTAAGGCATCAATGCAATAACAATTACATTACTATAACAAACAACATAAACAATAATTACAATAAGTAACAAATCAAATACTATCAGATGCTAAATACAAATCAAATGCTATCAAATATAAACTTAGAAACAAAAAGGACAATGGTCTTATACTATTTACAATTATATGCACTACGTACTATCGCCATAGTAAGCAACTAACCTGTCATAAGGAACGACTTTAGGTTTAGAGTTCGATGGCTTACGGATCCGAAACACGACGTCGTTCAGCCTGTTTAGGACTGTGTACGGACCATCCCAAGGTAATTGTAGTTTAGGACAGATTCCTTTCCGTCCAGTCGGATTGCATAACCACACCTTGTCTCCTTTGTTGAATTGATGCCCAGTAGCTCTTATGTCGTATCGGGTCTTCATCTTCTCCGTCGCCCAGTCGGCTCGCTTCCGTGCAAAATTGTGCATCACTTCAAACTGGGCCTCGAGGTCTTGAATGCTTTCCTCAGGTGATGAAGATGCATCCAGAGGGCGACCAAACAAGAGATCACAAGACAGACGAAGGTTACGACGGAAGAGCATCTGAGATGGAGAATAGCCGGTAGTCTCGTGGACAGCACTGCGGTAAGCTATTAAAAACATTGGTAACTTCTTGTCCCAATCCTGTTGGTTTCTGAAAACCACCAATGAGATTAAGGATGGTTCGATTCAATTTCACTACCATGCCGTCCGACTGGGGATTAAGAGCGTCTTTTGGGTTTTGTCAGTGCCGAGTAGCATTCAGAGTTCTTTGATTACATCCGAGGTAAAATTCCTTCCCTGACCTGAATGTAACTGAAGAGGTACTCCGTGACTTTTCAGTTACGGAGTAACTGAAAAGCTGTATCATTACCTCTGCTACTGTGACAGCCTCTTTATCAGGAATAGGTATGCTTCAGGCAACTTGGTGAGCTAATCAGGGACAACGAGGGTGTATTTGTTGTCATCAGCAGTTCGCGGCAGAGGTCCTAAGATGTCAAAGGTGATACGCTCAAAAGGTTCCATCGCTCTTGTAACTGGCATGCAGTACCCCACTCCTGACACCAAAAAGTGTTGCTTGCATACGGGTTCGTAATAATGGTTTGAATTCACAAGTCGATAACAAATAAAACAAAATACTGAAATTTCCTCAAAGATATTCGTACAATCTCAGAATATTTCACATTAGTTATATTTTGAACTACTGAAATATAAATAGAACTCAATTCAAAACAAAAAGAAAGCTAGTCCGATCTCACCGCGAATTCACTACAATCAATAATAGCACTAAGTACACAACTAATAAACAACTGAAATGAGATGTTTTATTCCGGCTTTTATAAGCTTCTTAATCATGCGCGAGAACATTCTGGTATTTTCTCGATTTATCCGGAAAGCAAAGGAGTACAATTACGAGATATCTATTTATTAAATGTTAAATGCGTGTACTCCTGTATTTTTACTTTATCGATGTAGCTTTTTCTTAAAACACGTCGCACGCATCATTGCAGGGGAAATGAAACAATTTATCTGCAATTCTATTAAAAATAGCAAATTAAATACAAAAACCGTAACAGTATGTATGTTTCTCGCATTGTGATAAAACAACGAAAGTCATCAAATTTTGAATAATGTATGTTTCCGTCCGAATATGGACAACTGGATGCTCAAATTTGGAATTTTTTTATTATCTGTTTCATATTTTATAAAACTTTTAACGAATTTTTGATTAACAGACTCAACGATTTAAAAGCAAGCAATGGCAACACTTACTAAAAAAAAAAACAATTTTATTTCCGGCGCGCTAGACTGTATATCGGAAATTCTAAAGATATGTTCATTTTAAAATTATTTTGCGGTATTGCTGTTGAACCGAATTTTATGGCTTAAGTACGAAGAACATGATATTTAATAAATAAAGGTTACACACTAAACATTAAAAAAACTTTCCTTTGGGGCGTAATGTAAAATCCGAAAGCTTTCAGATTTATATATATATATAAATACGTATATAATAATTTTTTAAATTTTAATATTTTTCTTCTCTTCTTTCCCCCTCCCCCATTCACTCACTGATTTTGTTCTTGCATTTGAAATTCAGTTTTCCCTTCTTTAGACGTTAATCTTGAATGACAGATTAAATGGCTGCCGTAAAAAGTAGCTTGAATAACGCCAGAAACATTAAAAGCAAATGGGCATTCTATGTTAATTAAAATTAATTTGATTAGTTTTTCATTTTAAAACAAGAGGATAAGCTTAGTGCAGGAGCAAAACTCGTTGCACAGCTAGGGAGCTTTATATATTGAATTAAGAACTTAATTAAATTTGCAGTTTCGAACCTAATGTTTTCAAAGCAACTATTTTAGGTGCTTTGTCTTCTTAATATATACTGCAAGCAAAGATAGCGTTTTAAATAAAAGATTTTTTTCCATTATTCGAACAGATGCAGCGTGCGATATGCAGCTCATTTAGATTAATTCTATAGGCTTTCTTTAATTAATTAAAGTTATTAAAGCAGAATTATAAATACAGTAATAGAGCACTACACGAAATTAAATGAAAAGATCACTAATGAAATCACTCATAAATTTAATCTTTCAGATCAGTGTAGAGACATTAGATTTATTTTGATGCAGGAGACATGAAAAATGTGCGTTGCACTCGCCGGGACTCACACCCAGGACTTCTCAAAATACGCGCCGAGTGTGCTGGCCATTACACCACGAAGGCATGATAAGAAGACGAGATAAGTACCTCATATATTCCCCCTTTTAAAGGGCGATTAGGGATTAGGAGATCCAATCGCCAAATCCTGGTGGTGCAGCATCATCATCCACCACCCCTTTTATTTCGGGGGACACTGTAGAGACATTAGGTTATTTCGAAGCAGTAAGCCTCAGCCGGGACCCGAACCTCAAACCTCTCGAATACCCGCCAAGAGTGCTGACCATTACACCACGAAGGCATGCTAAGTAGGCGGAAAAAGTACCTAATTAGGTAACTAAATTTTCAGAAAGTTTTTTTTTTTTTCACTTAAATTTATTTTGATTGAAGGAAGAAATTCTTCCAAGCTTATTCCTCGAACAGCTCCTATTATTATACACAATCTGTTACTTAAATCGAAATCTACAGTTTAATACGCTATAGACATATGTAGTACTTAAACTGTGAGTAAAGTTTTAGCTTTAAAAATTAGTTTTTAAAATTAAACATATAATAAACATTTATAAAACATTCAACTTTCAGAGCATTTGAATATATATTAATATGCATATTATAATTTTTCTTTGGTAAACAGTGGTTTTTCGAAAGCATCAAATAGTTCATTTATGTGCTCTATTCTGGTCATTTTATATTATTTTCACGCAAATAAAAAAATAACAGCTTTAGAGCACTGTTTTTATTTCTTTTTAAAGTATTCAGCTTTCTGTAACGTGTATATGTTTTTTGTCTGAACTTATTATCTATATTAGTAATACAAATCATAGTTGGAAAAGAAAAATTTCAAAAAAAGAACCGAAGCAGCTCATTTCTTCTTTTTTATTTCTTATCACCCTGGACAGTATGTGGTTAGACGTTGACTGCATAGGCCGGTGGATCTGGCTTTTAGCAAACTTAAATATTAAGAACATTTTATCTTTTCAAAATGGGGCAGTTAAAACCTGATGATTCGAATGTCCTTTTGAAACAACTAGCAACTAGGTACTAGACTCTCAGCTCCCTTTTATTTCGTACTGTCTATCAAAATTGAATGGAATTCAAGCAGACAGCATTCGTGTGTTCTGCCTAAATTAAGTAATCCTACCCAGTATATCTTAAATTTATGTATGAGTGATAAACTTGAAACAGCATTCTCCAGATTTTCCTTTGTTCTGTATAGCTATTCCTTTATAAGTGAAAAAAGTGTTAATAAATTTAGTTTATTTTCAAGTTTCTAATACATTATTTTCTATTTGCAGGACACTCTACGAGAAAACTGTGATCCCTCCAGTGACTGCATCCGCAACTGCTGCGTTTCACCCATTATAGCTCCCCTTTATTTCGTAGTGTTTGTCCTGATGGCCCAGTTCGTTCTAGTTAATGTTGTCGTTGCAGTGCTCATGAAGCACCTCGAGGAGTCTCATAAGCACATGGACGACGATATAGAAATAGATGCAGAAATTGAAAGACAGTTGGCTGCTGAGCTTGCCGACAGCGTCCGAAGAAAGGTTAATTCAACAACAGTTTTGATAATTTACCGCTTATCTGTTAATTTCCCCAAAACGAAAAAATTATTAAAAAATTTAAATTACTTATTTTTCATATTTTTATATTAATTATTTTAGTTCAATTTATTTGAGTGAAATGAATTTTTAAAATATTTTGTTTTCAGTGGAAATAATATATTGTTACGAATTTTTGTATATGTGTAAATAATTTTAGTGAAGTTGTGTTTAAAATTATTTACATATATACAAAAATTCGTATCATTGCCCCAAGGACTGCACGTTCAGGGCAGTACAGTCCCTGGACAGGAAGCCATACTTTCGACTAAAGAAAATGCAGTACTAAAATAATAATTTCAATGAATAACATAAAACAAATCAAATAAATAAATGCATAAATTTGCAAATTTGTTTTCGAATAGAACCATTGTCTTAGTTACAATAGATTCACCATGGGGACTAGGTACTATGATCATACTTTAAAGGGCCGGCATAGTTTAATGAAAGACTTTGAGTTGGATGACTTACGAATCCGAACTGTGAAGTCTTTCAGTCTGTTTAGGACTGCGTCCCAATGTGATTGTTATTTAAGGAAAAGTCCTTTCCGTCGAATCGGATTCCATAACCACATATTGTCACCTCCGTTGAATCGATGTCTCGAAACTGTAGTGTTGTATCTAGTCTTCATCTTCTCCTTCGCCAAGTTAATTCGCTCTCAAGCAAAACTGTGCACCACTTCAAACTGTGCCTGGAGATCTTGAACGTATGATGACATATTCCGAAGGCGACCAAATGACAGATCAGAAGGCACGAAGAGCATCTGAGATGGGGAGTAGCCGATAGTCGCGTGTACAGTACTGCGGTAGACCAGTAAGAAACAAAGGTAACTTCTGGTCTCAATTAGCTCACTCTCGAACAAATTTGTGCACCACTTCAAGCAGTGTCTGGAGACTTTCAGCGTATTCCTCAGGCGATGAAGGCACATCCGGAGGGTGACCAAATAACAGATCACAAAGGACGAAAGTGACACCTTAACAGCATCTGGGATGGGAAGTAGCCGATAGTCTCATGGACAGCACTGCGATAAGCCAGTGAGGTAACTCTCAGTCCTGTTGGTTTCTGAAAACCAGCAGCAAGAGGTTTTTAAGGATGGTTCGATTAAACCTCTCTATCGTACCGTCTGATTGCGGATGTAAAGGTGTCCTTTTTGCTTGCAGTTCTTTAATTACCGACGACATAAAATTCCTTCCTTGATCAAAATGTAACTAAAGAGGCACTATGAACCTATAAATACATTTCTCTGTGATTACATCAGCTACCGTGACAGGCTATTGATCAGGAATAAAATACGCTTCATAACACTTGGTGAAGTAATTAATGGCAACAAGGATGTATTTGTTGCCATCAGTAGTTCATGGCAGAATTCCCAAGATGTCTAAGGTCGGCGTTCAGAAGGAGCTCCTACATTTTAACGTTGGAGCTTCCGTTGGCATGCGCTTCTTCGGTTGAAGTCTTCATTTTTCTAAGTGGGCCTCCTGTTGGACTGCTATATAATTCTTTAATGGCCGCGATCCGCGATCTTGAAGTACTAACTGCCATCGGAATGCCTTTCCATCATCCGATTCGAACTTCGGGTTAAGATGCCTTTTCGAAATATGGAATGAGTCCCAGTTAGCCCAGCATGAGTTTGTCTTAGGACTATAGATCGAAATGTCCTGCCAAATAAGTTTTCTATTTGAAGATTTCAATCAGTCAGATATATTTCTAATGTCACCATCTTCCTGACCTGGTCGTCGTCCTGGTCGTGCGACCGTATTAACCACTTCGCATTTTGCTTTGACTCCGGAGCAAGGTCGGCAACTTTCTGAGCAAGGTCTTCTGGGCAGGGCATTGGCATTTCCTATGACGGATATTTGTGTCGTTGTCCTGGAGTCTCTGTATCCATCTAGCTATATGGCCTTCGGGATTCTTGAAATTTAATAGTCAGGTATTGATGCATGACTTATACGGAGCATGAATTTTCTGCCGTAAAGGTAATGTTGGAAATGTTCTACAGCTTTAACTGTGGCTGCAACACTTTTCTAGTGACACAGTAATTCTTCTCCGATTTAGATAGACACTTGCTCCAGAATGCTACGAAACGTTCTTGACCGTGTATTTCTTGGAACAAAACAGTACAAACACTCATTGCTCGCACCCGTATCAAGAATGAATGATTTGTGGAGCTGAAGATACGTCAAGATTGTCGCAGATTTTAAAAACTCTTGCATTTAAATGTCCTGTTAAATACATTCCCACATTCTTTTGTCCACAAGAACTTTTGCTTGCTCTCTGTCAGTTTGTGAATGGTTTTAGGAATGGAAGAATAATCCTTCACATTAGGTGCAAAGTCACCGGAAACTTTTCACCTCACGGACATTTTCGGAGGCGTCTGCTGTCTCTGACTGCCGGCACTTTTTCTTGATTCGCTACACGCACTTTTGGCAGAGATGACATGTACAAGGTGAGTCACTTCCTATCTGAACAATTTACATCTGGCAGGACTTAATTTTACATATAAAACATCGCGGACGAAAACGTCACGGAAAAACAACGGAAGGCGGAAACGTCGAGGTACAAAACATCATGGGAGAAAATAAAGGAAAGAGAAGACATTGCAGTTCTAAAATATTGTGGTCGAAAATAAAGCTGTTCAAAATCCGCAGTTTAAAAATATCGCCTCGAAAATATCGTGGTAAGAAAAAAAGTAACTGCAAATCATGGCATGATCGCACACATATGTTCTCAGGTTTTAAAAGCTGTAAATGCATGTTCGCATACTGATTTGGAAACGCAAAAAGGAAAGAGGGATTCTTTCACTTATGTATTTCATATTTTTGAATTAACTAATAAATTTTTGCTGAAAAAATAAGGAAACTTAAGCATTTAAAAATTGAAAATGAATAGAAAATTAATGCAACTTATAGCACTTAATAGGATTTTAAATTTATATAATTTATTAACAAAGGTCAATAATAAATTAACCTTTTTTATAAAGTTTTACTGATATTTTTTTATGAAAAATACAGTCTAGAAATGCTTAGAAAAAGGAAGATAAATAACTGCATGAGGTTACCTGTATAAAATCGCTTAGTTAATTATCAAATTATTTTCTTTCACATTTATTTATCTGATATTGTATTAGTGAAAATTATATTTGGTTTTGTTTCCGTTTATTCTTAAAGTGTCGTTAACATTTTCATGTATAGCGTGCAATCAGTTTTTTGGATATCGATTTGTTAATTATGACGAAAGTCAGTTACATAATATGTAAGTGTGGGATTTGAAAAACGAATGTGTGCGATGCTATCGTCATGCGATGATTTGTAGGTACTTTATTTTTTACCTCGATATTTTCGACGACAATGTTTTTTAATTGTAAGTTTTTTAACCGCTATTTTTTCGACCACGTTATTTTGTACACGATGTTTTAGAACTGCGATGTTTTCTCTTTGCTTTATTTTCTCCCACGATGTTTTAGAACTGCGATGTTTTCTCTTTGCTTTATTTTCTCCCACGAAGTTTCGCACACGACGTTTTCGCCTTGCGTTGTTTTCTCCGCAATGTTTTCGCCTGTAACCATTTTCTAAATGCTCTTTAAAAGTGTCTCCAACGAAGATGATGCCATCCAAGTATATCAGACACGCTTCATACGAAAGACCTCTCAACGCAGTCTCCATAAGGCGCTCGGAGATTACCGGCGCATTACGTAATCCAAACAGAATCACCTTGAACTTCCTTGTCGGCCGTCTTTTCTCGGTCATCAGAATGTATCGCTACCTGGTAATAACCACTCTTTAAATGAAGCATTGAAAACCGCTTGCTTCCAGAAAGAGAGTCCAGAATGTGATCAATTCTAGGAAGAGGGTAGCTGTCTTTCTTCGTAACCTCATTCAGCCGGCGATAGTCAATGCAAAATCTAACCGAACTATTTTTCTTTCGGACTGGGACGATAGGACGGGCCCCGAGGACTTGCGGATGGCTTGATAACGTTGCTTTCTTGCATGTCCTTCAGAAGTTTTGGTACCTCCTCCTGTTTAGCAATCGGTAGTCGTCTGGGATATTGCCGAATTGGTAGTTGATATCCCGTATCGAGTATGTGCTGAGCCAAACAGGTTCGACCTACGTCAGAAGATGTGCTGGAGAAAACATTTTGAAATTCTTGAATGACGCATTCGGAATCACTCTTTTCTTCATTGTGAATGTGTTCATGTGTTCTTCTTCATCTTTCGCTTAATTGTGCATTCTACAGTAACTCCTATGTTAGGCGGACTATTGGGCCGTTTAACGCGGGTCACTAGAGTACATGTTGCAAACGCTTTACCTTTCCTAATGACTTTCGCCTCATCACTTCATTAGCGACTCTGATTGGAATGGCGGTCTTCAATAAGTCGAAGAATGCTGAGGCTACTAGTACTTTTCGTGGGGTGTTAGAATTCTTAGGGTATTCCATCATGCCGTGCTGTAAGCTTTTGTTTTCAGTTATGGATCCAGGTAGTAAAAGTTCTCTTCTCCCTGGTACTGCGATATTGTCTTGAGCTATTTATTATTTGATAAACGGATTTAGCTGCTTCATCTCTAATTCCGAACGGGGTTATGTCCTCAGAGGCAGAATGCGGTTCTTTATTCTTAAAGTCCTAGAAAAAGTTTTCTTTCCTTAAAAAAGCGTTGATCCAAGTATGTAAGGGCCTGTAATATTTGCTACATATGCTGTGTGATAGTAGACGGCACTTCCAAACTGGATGTTTATGTTCAAATTTCTATCGATGTCTATTTTATCACCGGACGCAGTCCAGAGGGCAACGTAAGGAAGCGTCCAGATGAGTTGACCTTCCAGTTGTTGAGCCAAGTCTTTTTGAACGATGGTAACATTGGATCCTGTATTGATGGTCATATTGCGCGTCGTATGCACGGCACGTGGTCATTTTGCACACTTCTGTTTCGATGGCCATATTATTCCGGAA